GGGTGGTCGGGGACTTCAGGAAGGCCCCAGGTGCAGGACAGGCTCCAGGTGGGCCCCATGTCCCTCCTCTGCTCCTCACGCCTGTCTCACGCTGACCTCTTATGGTCTTAATTATGATGTCAATTTCCTGTGGCAAGCTTTTTATTTCAGTCTGTTTGAAACTCACAAAAAAGCAATCCTGAAAGAAGAAACCTCCAGGTTTCCTGGCAAAGCATTCGCTAGAGCATCACACAGGCTTTGACAGCACTGGAAACAAGACGGCCTGCTTACAAATCGTCTGATAGCAACACGTGACATACATGACGGTTTGATTTCAGCTCAAGCCCTGGGGTCAGGTTGGTCTAAAGAGGCTCCAGCCTCAGCATCGACTCCTGTTTGGAAGGAGGAGGTGACCCTGTTCTGAGCCTCAGGTATGGCACTCACTCTGGGGGTCGCTCCTTGACTGAGGATCCACTGTCAACAGGCACCTAAACACCTAAGAGGTACCTGGCGGGTGGGCTCGCCTGGGTGGCATTAGACATGAAAGCTCCGGGTCAGGGAAGTGCACAGAGGGGAACCCGCAGGGAGAGTCAGCAGGGGGCTTGACAGCAGGAAGGGACTGTTGTTTTGGAGGCAGAAATGAAGATGGATGAGGTCACCACACCTTAGAAAGATCGGTAGGGGGAATGTCAGCCTTCGACTTCTCAATGCTAGGCTTTAGCGCCAGGATCCGGCCTAAACCTCCCTTTGCCTGGCGCCCCCTCTGATCCACATTCTGCCTTGGGAGTGGTGTGCGTGTGTGCATGTGGGAGTGTGTGAGACGCTTCTGGACGCAGACGCACCTGACCAGCGCTGTTGGCTGAAAAGTGCCCATTTAGCGTCCCTGGGGCTCCCGGCTGCTGGTCCTCCTCATTCCCCTTCCACTGTCCTTTTTCCATCACAGCTGTGCTGCGTGTTCACCAACAGTATCTGTTGCTGGCTGCTTTTATTACAGAAATTAAGAAGATAGGTCAAAAAACTCTTGGATTGCCAGGTGTGGTGGCACAGGCCTGTGGTCCCAGCTCTCAGGAGGCTGAGGCAGGAGGATCACTTGAGCCCAGGAGTCTGAGTCCAGCCTGGGGAACAAGACCCCATTTCTAAAAACAAACAAACAAAAAGCCCCAAAACATGAACAAAAACCTCCCTTGGATTGACCAGTGATCAATCTGTTACACATTACCCTATAAAAATTCACAAATCCTTATGCCTGGTTCGGCCCCAGCTTATGTTTATTCACCTGTGTATTTCTTTTTCTTTTTCTTTTTTTTTTTTTTTTGAGACGGAGTTTTGCTCTTGTTACCCAGGCTGGAGTGCAATGGCACGATCTCGGCTCACCGCAACCTCCGCCTCCTGGGCTCAGGCAATTCTCCTGCCTCAGCCTCCTGAGTAGCTGGGATTACAGGCACCTGTGTATTTCTAAAAAACCTCAGGAGCAACCACCCTAAACCATGACCAGGAAGCCCTGGAAGTAGAAAAACAGGAATTATAGAGATCATGCAGTTTTTATGTACCCCCGCCCGCACCCCCAAGTTCTGTGGAATTTACATTATGCTTTTTACACGCAGCAGAGTCTTATAAGAGTAGGGGGCACTTGGCTTCCAGTCAGTTTGGGCTCATCTCGGCACCTCTATGCCTATTCTCTTCTCTAAAAATGAAGCTGAATTAAGCTTAGTAGATTTCAAACTATTTGACAGTGGAATCCATTTTTTTCCCTCCAAATGGTATCTTATATAAAGCCACAAATGTTAAATAAGAGCTGAATTTTTACAGAGGCTAATGTGTTGGTGGTCTCCAAAGTGCTGAAATTTAGCATGTTTGTTTAAAAAAATTAAAATTGTAGGCCGGGCGCGGTGGCTCAAGCCTGTAATCCTAGCACTTTGGGAGGCCGAGACGGGTGGATCACGAGGTCAAGAGATCGAGACCATCCCGGTCAACATAGTGAAACCCCGTCTCTACTAAAAATACAAAAAATGAGCTGGGCATGGTGGCACGTGCCTGTAATCCCAGCTACTCAGGAGGCTGAGGCAGGAGAATTGCTTGAACCCAGGAGGCGGAGGTTGCGGTGAGCCGAGATCGCGCCATTGCACTCCAGCCTGGGTAACAAGAGCGAAACTCCGTCTCAAAAAAAAAAAGAAAAAAAAAAATTAAAATTGTAAAGTTTTTAGCTGGACATGGTGCTGTGTGCCTGTAATCCCAGCTACTCGGGCGGCTAAGGCAGAATTGCTTGAACCCGGGAGGCAGAGGTTGCAGTGAGCTGAGATCGTGCCACTGCACTCCAGCCTGGGTGACAGAGCTACACTCCGTCTCAAAAAAAAAAAAAAAAAAAAAAAAATTAAAGTTTTCTAAAATCCAAACTTACATAAAAACGAAAGTCTCAGGCTGGGCGCGGTGGCTCATACCTGTAATCCCAGCACTTTGGGAGGCTGAGGTGGGGGATCACCTGAGGTCAGAGGTTCAACACCAGCCTGGCCAACATGGCGAAACCCCATCTCTACTAAAAATATAAAATTAGCCAGATGTGGTGGTGTGCAGCTGTAATCCCACCTTCTCAGGAGGCTGAAGCAGGAGAATTGCTTGAAACCAGGAGGCAGAGGTTGCCGTGAGCCGAGATTGCACCACAGCACTCCAGCCTGGGGACAAAGCAAAACTCTGTCACAAAACACAACACAACACAACACAACACAACACAACACAACACAACACAACACAACGCAACACAACACAATAGCCTCTGAGGAATGGGAGCTGCTGGACTGGAGTCGAGCTCTTCTGGTTCTGAGGGTCAAGTGCACCATCATGGTCCACAGCTGTCACAGCTGTCCCTTGACACTGTCTCCATAGGGGCTGCTTCCCCAATGCAATAACAGGGCCAAGCAGGGGCTCTGGGTGGCCCTGGGCAAAAGTCATGAAGGACAGACCCTGCGGCCCACGACCCTGGGTACCCCCTATCTTGCAGGGCCTGGGGTTCTCCCCAGTGTCAAGTGGTGGTGAATGCAGATGCAAGGGCTTCACCTGGAGTTCAGGAGAAGGAAACATACTTTAATGAGGCAGGTGAGCCCCCTTTAAGCGATCAGGCTCAGAGGTACTGGAATGAGACAGCAGCCACACCCCGCTTCCCCTCCTGCCTTGGGAAATCATCCGAAGGTTGCTGTGTGGGCTCTAGACTGGCACCGAGAGCTATGCATGTATCTAACAATGACACATGCCAGACACCATAACTTGTGGTCTATAGTTCAACGATGTAGAGGCAATCGCTAATCAAGCGTTTCTGTCAACCAATGAGAACGCCTGAAAATAATTTGAGTAATGGCCCCTTTCCTGATCCGTCCTGTTCCCTTTCAATGCTGGAGCTTCTCTCTTTCTCCCCACAGCATTTCTCAAGGCAACTTGGAAGCGTTTTCCAGGCTGCAGCTCTCAACCTGGGCCCAAATAAGCTCTCTCCCCATGTTCAATTTTTGAGCTAGGGTCTTGCCGTCGCCTAGGCTGGCGTGCAGTAGTGAGATCTCGGCTTACCGCAGTCTCAGTCTCCTGAGTAGCTGAGATTACAAACATGAGCCATGCGCCTGGCCTCTCCCTTTATTAGTCTGCCTCAGTTTCTTCTTTTAGGATGACAATACCATAACTCCACACTGCCCCCTGGGGGTGTTCCTATGACCTGGCATGGCACTGTGGGCATGTCCCCAGGCCCTTACCTGTGTTCATCACTGCCTATGACGCTGCCCGTCTAGAAGGCATTTCCACCATGTAACGTGGTGGTGGGGACTGGGATCCCAGGCCACACTGCTTGGGTCGAAACCTGGCTCCACTCAGTATTCGTGTGACCTCTGGCAAGTGACTTCACCTGTGTGTGCCTCAGTTTCCTTACTTGTGAATGAGGATAAGAGTGGTAAATTATTTGGTGGGTTGTGAGAACTAAGTAAATTAACCCAGGGGCATGAGGCATTCACCACGGCCCTGGCATAAAGGCAGTGGTAAGAAATATGAGTTCTCCTTGTCATTACTGCTGATGGGTGACGCCAGCCCTCAGGGAAGGAGACGTGAAGCCAGTGCGGTGTTGCCTTTATGCTTCTTGCCACCCCAAAATAGCAGCAGCGTGCAGCTGGGCTGAAACGGCAGCATGCCTCTACTTGAGCTGTAGGGAGTTACTCAACACCAGGTTTCCTCCAGCTTCAAGATGGGGGATAAGGAAGGCAGTGGGCAAACATCTAGGCTGCACAAACAGCGATCTGAGTAGCAGCACAGGATGTGAAGTCTTCTGGCCGGTGTACCTGCTTTTAGGTGCAAGTGGGGCATGTGTGGTTCTTCAAAATAGCCAGCAAGGTTACCAGACCCTTGGGCCAAAGACCACACTCTGCCTGGGTCTCAGCCTCATCCGAGTGCCCCAGCTGCAGTGAGTGGCAGCGTCTGCATCTGCCATGTGAAGGGAGCACAGACACCACCGGGTGGAGAAGGAAGCTCAAGGACAAAGCTTGCCCTCCCAAGCCATCCGGCGTGCTGACCACACGCAGCTACGGAGGTGAGGTTATAGCCACAGCACGAGATCAGCCCTTCACCCCGTTTCCACGGGCTTCTCACAAGAGTGTCAGGATGGTGACCTCTCTGTGGAGGAGCAGGCAGGTGAACTAGGATTCCAAATTCACACTCCCAGCAATTCCTAATTTTCAAGACTTTCATTTCTATAAACTGTATTGATTCACCTTTTCCTACTCAAAAAAGCCTCAAAACCAAAACCAAACCAAGAGGTGGTCTATAAAAAGTCACTCTGCCTTTTCCACTAAATAAGTAAAAAATCAGCGGATAGACTTAGCTTCGAACAGCTGTGGCTAGCAACAGGCGCAGCCAGCGCTCCAGGCGGGCTGGTCAATCAGCGGCCGTCCGCAGTCAGCTCCTCTGTGTGCGGGCAGCCCAGACCTAACGTGAACCTGTCATATCAGAGCCAGCTTGCCCAATGCCATGGCTAAATTTAGTTTCATGATGAGCAATAAAATTCACATGTTCTTTATTTAGTCCATATGATACACTGCGTTTTAGTTTTTGAAAATTAGATAAAAGAGCATATTAAATGGCAAGTGTTTGAAGTTTCTCTTCATAAACAATGTCAAAACAAAAAGTTTTGAATTACAAAATGTTAAAAAATATGTAGGTACTTAACATTTCACTAAAGCATAAAGTTACAGATATTTTCTAAAGAAAAATAATTGTGCCACTTACCTATATTTGCTGTTTCTATGAACATTTTTTATTCTGTACATAGGACATTTTGTACAAAATATGAAGTCTACATTTTTATTACTTATTACCATAAAACAAAGATACAATGTATGTACAATATTAAAAGGAAGTCATACTAAAGCCACACTAAAAAGACACTTGGAATAGTGACATTTCTGATGTACAGATACATTTTGGAAAGAGTGAAGACGCCAAACGCAGAACTTTATGAAGAAAAACAGTCACCGGTTTATTTTCAATGCAGTACTTTGAAATCAGTTTGGTACAGAGTAAACAGTCTCTATACAGTGATATGTACGCTGAATGATGAGCACAGGAGTCCGAGTACTAGCGAGGGAAACTGGAGGAGGCCAAAACAGTAAGTAATACTCTTGCCAAAGAAAATTAGTCTCTCTCAAAACTCTTTTTGGTGAGTGTTTGTCTTCAATAAAGAGCAGAAATAAAACCTAGACAAAAAGATGTTCTTACACATTGAGCTTTACACAGTCACCCAAACGTTGATATTTTGCTTTTTCCCTAGGGCAAAAAGAGAGTCTTCCCAGAAACCTCTCTCACAAACATACTGAACATCCAAAATCAAGGATATTTGGGAATCTATCAGCTAAAGACGGAAGTTCAAACAATGGTATATCAAAATACATAAGACGCTGCTTTATACAATAAAAAGCACCCTTTTTCCCTCAAAAGGAGAAGGCATCTAAACTGTTTTTTTTATTTTTTAAATTATAGATTTCATAATGGTAAAATGGAGAGATACTTGTCAAGTTTCTCAGGAAGTGTTCGTCTCACAACGCGGACCTGTCCACTTTTAGCTGGGGCGATCTTTGCATTTCATACCTGCGATTGCTCTTGACATGAGAAGTCCCCTCCCCCCAGGTGATTTTCCTCAAGACACGAGGACAGAAGCATTGCCAGTGGCTTTAAAGCCAGCAGGGGCAGCAGCGTCTGCTGCTCACCGTCTTTTAAAGGATACCCGAGACCTCAATGAAAAAACAGATCCTAAAAGAAGCCACATTTTGTCTTTTATGCGTCAAGACACTTAACATTAAGTTATATAATCTTATGCCACAGATAAAAGAAACTAGAATCACGTGTTTAGAATAGCAGTACAAATCTCAAGTAGCTTTCAAGCAGGATAAGTAAGTCAAAATACGGGCCACCCTGAGAGAAATAAAGAATAGACAAAGCGCTAAGCTGAAAGAGTTTTCTCCTTGTGCTATTCCATCTAAAACAAAAGCTCAGTACATGCAAGGAAGCCTGTGGAATACATAGCAGCATTTGAAGACCGACGAAAACTCAGACACTGTATTTTCCTGACAAGGTGTTGATATAATGTGTGCTCTTCTCAACAGAAAGAGCTCCATGGAACCCCCTCCTCGCTGGCGCCCCCTCCCAGCGCTCAGAACCGCATCGCGGCCTTAAGTGAAGGCTGCGGCAGCGCCGGCCCGAGCAACGCTGTTCGGTTACTTGATGCTCAAAGGCAGCTGCAGTTTGCATTACGCTAAGAACTGGCTTAACTCAAAACGATTTTGTTCTAACTTTCCGTAAAATGTGGAATTCTTAGAGACTATAATTTTATCAATTCAAGAGCCTTGTTTGAAGGGCAACAATGTTTAAGTTGAATGCAAACGAAATCTGTAAATAAAAATACGAACATGTAATTTTTAGACTCCAATTTCTGTCAAGATAGAGCAAGCTCTTTTAAGATATATTTCAGAGCAATCTCTTTGAAAATAAATTTCTTCGACAAGCTTACTCCTGGAATCCTGGAGTACCACAGACTTGGAAATATGGCTTTAGGTACACACAAGAGAAGGAGACACGGTCTTCATGTCACTCATCAGAGCAAAGAGATCCCTTAGAAAAGACCAGCGCCTGAGGATTGTCATTTTCCCAGTATGCCGTGTGAGAACTCAAAAGCAAAGAGCCACGTCACTGAGACTGAAAAACAAACCAACGAGAACTGCTGGCGAAGCAATCACGTGGAAACCATTCCAGAGGCTGTAAAGTCTTAAAAAACAGGCCACACTTGCTGAAGTGTTCCTTTGATTTGAAAAACACTGATGTTATCAGAGAACCTCCTATGTTAAAAGATCCTAAGTTCCATTTGGGAGAACGTGAGGATGACGGGTAGGGTGCTTTCCTATCGCTCTGACTTTGTGAAATAGCCTGACTTGGACTGCGCTGGGGTGGCGACGACACTGTGGGACACTGTCGTCAACCCGCGGCTCTGCCAGCGGGTTCTGGGAAGTCACCATTGTTTGAACTCCTAATCTCTCGCTGAGGCGGACGCACGTTATTGCCTACAGAACGGGTCCAAGAAAGCTTTGACTTTGAGTGTAACTGATTGGTATGGCACAGAAAGTATGTATTTTCTACAGAATCCAGAAAAGAACTGGCGGGCCCAGCCCCGATGCGGTGCCCCAGAGGCTAGCGGCCGTCCTGGGAGGCCTGCTCGTCGGCCCTGCAGTGAGCTTCCAAGGCTTTCTTGGTGTGGGGTTCCTGAGGCAGCTCGGACTTGCGGCGTGCAAGGGGACGGTCCTTCTTCGGATCTTTCTGTGCCTGGAATTAGAAATGCAGTGGCGTTGGCTCCAAACTAAGCTATCTGAAAAGCGAGCTCACGTCTGAAGTTGCAAGTCAAAGGACAACTTCGAGGCACATGTGCCTCACCCCCTCACTACCGGCACCCTGGCTGCAGGGAAAGGGCGCATGTCTTACCATGGATATTCACCAAAAATGTCTTGCTACTAAAAATCATGACTCGTGTGAGGGCCTGTGCGTTCAATACTGGCATGCTGGTCTTCTGAAATGTGCTTGTATAAAGGACGCAGTACCTCTAATCTGCAGAATTCATGCAGTTTAGTAAATCTCATGAACAACCTCCTGTTTCATAAATGTCATTAAAGCCATTTTATGGGCATATCCCCTACAGAAGCATTTCAGAAAGTAGAAATTTCCTTGGAGGTAAAGGGAAAAAAAAAAAAAAAAGGATGAATGAAAAACATACTTAAATTGGATTTCAAACTTCTATCAAATTGGAAAAAAAAAAAAGATACTTTTTTTTTCCAATCCATTGTCTCCCTAAAAGTCTAGGAAATCTTGGTTTCACTTAAAAAAAAAATGACCCCATCACAGTACTTGTAAGAGCGTGTTACCGTGTGAGGATGTAAAGCATGTCTACCTTCAGCCCATGAGAAACTCAGACGTGAATTTCTACCCTGAATTTTATGCTCATTCTATGTTGATCTGTAAAACAAAGTAAAGCAAAACAAAACCAAGATTTTTATATATTTGAAATGTGTAATTACAGCTGAAACAGGCACTTCACAGAGAAGAAACATTGTCATAGAAAAAGGCAACAGTAAAAACCTTGGAGCTGGAACCGGTGAATGCCATCTGAGAACCCAAACACGACCCCAGAGCCTCTGAAAGGACAGAAAGCCAGTGGCCACATATGGGCCTTTCTGCTCAGACATTTTAAAATGCTGTGCAAAGCGGAGAATAATTTTACTATCCACAAAGGAAGAAAGTGAGAAGAACAGGAGGCAGGGAGATGACAGCATGCTGATGGTGGGGCTGGTGAAGGGCCTGGCGGAGGGGTGTGCAGGTGAACATGCCGGTGGGGGCGGGACAGACCGCAGGAGACACAAGCCTCTGCTCTGCAGCCCATGGGCAGATCCAGAGGCTCAATGCAAACCGTAAGTGCTAAAAGAACACCAAGGGTTGGGCATGCATGGCTCTGCAAGTCTTCTTCCTCTTAGAAAGGTGTGAATTCAAACTTCACTACTTAATTTGGTATAGAAATAATCAACATTTCTTAAGGGACCAAATTTCTTAAGCTTTTTTTTTTTTTTTTTTTTTTTTTTTTACATTAGAGACAGGGTCTCTGTCACCCAGGCTGGAATGCAGTGGTGTGATTACAGCTCACTGCAGCCTCGAACTCCTGGGTTTAAGGGATCCTCCTGTCTCAGTCTCCTGAGTAGCTAGGGTTACAGGCATGTAACACATGCCTGGTTATTTTTATTTTTTTTCTTTTTGTAGAGGTAAGGTCTTGCTGTGTTGCCCAGGCTGGTCTCAAACTCCTGGCCTCCAGCAGTTCTCCTGCCGCAGCCTCCCAAAGTGCTGGGATTACAGGCATGAGCCATGGTACCCAGCCACCAAATTTCTTTCTTTAAATTATTTTTTAATTTAATTTAATTTTATTTTGAGACGAAAGTCTCACTCTGTCATCCAGGCTTTTCCCAATTCTTTTCCCAGCAAACAGCAACCTCTGCTCACTGCAACCTCCGCTTCCTGGGTTTGAGTGGTTCTCCTGACTCAGCCACCCCAGAAGCTGGGATTACAGGTGCCCGCCACCACGTCTGGCTCATTTTTTGTGATTTAGTAGAGATGGGGTTTCACCATATTGGTGAGGCTGGTCTCCAACTCCTGACCTTGTGATCCACCCGCCTCGGCCTCCCAAAGTGCACGTGCCGTTGCACCCGGCCTCCCAGCCATCACATTTCTTTAATTTTGTTTTGGACAAAAGGGAAAATACTTCATGTACACATTAACTCATCAATTCTTTTCCCAGCGAACAGGCCTCCCACGTGCTCTCCACGTTGAGTCGTGAGTACCTGCACTGCCACCTGCCGTCTCTCTACACCTTCCTGACTTGCACGGCTGCCACTGCTTTTCTCCCGACCAACTGTTAAAAATGAGAATGGCAAACATTTGAAATGTCTCTAATACAAATGTCATTTCAGTGATATTTGCTAGTTTTCTTTGGATGTTCTACTAGTTACAGGGTTATACTAGTTTCCGGAAGGAAATGTCAGTAATGGATAGGTAAATACATGGTTGAATTTCTCCACAAAAATCCAGCCTGCTCCCTCCGTCAGCGTCAGGGCCTCCTTCCCACTCCCCAGCTACGCCTTCGACTCTCTCACCCTGTCCCGACCCAACACTAACATCATCTGAAAGAAATGTGAAATTATTTTGGAAAAATCAAGTTAGCTGAAAAAAAAAACTAAGAGGGCACTGAATATATTCAAATGACTATATATAAAACCCAAAAAACCTTAGTTTTTAGCTATAATTTCTCATGTCAATTTGGTCACCAAATTGTTCACATACGTTTTTCCTGCATCCTGGTACTTTTTCTTTTTTAAATTTTTAGAGTCAGAGTCTGATTCTGTCACTCCGGCTGGAGTACAGTGGCACGGTCATAGCTCACAGCAGCCTTGAACTGGTAACCTTCTTTTTGCTTTAACAATAGGGCTTTTCAGAATTTCAGGAAAACCGCTCCAAACGTTTTTCAACTTATGTTTATTGGCGGAGCTCGGTGGCTCATGCCTGTAATCCCAGCACTCTGGGAGGCCAAGGGGGGCAGATCACTTAGACCAGGAGTTTGAGACCAGTCTGGCCAACAGGTGAAACCCCATCTCTACCAGAAATACAAAAATTAGCCAAGTGTGCTGGTGCCTGTAGTCACCGCTACTGGAGAGGCTAAGGTGGGAGGACTGCTGGAGTCCAGGGGGCCAAGGCTGCAGTGAGCCCAGACTGTGCCACTGCATTCCAGCCTGGGTGTCAGGGCAAGACCCTGTGTCAAAATTTAAAAAAAAAAAAAAAAAAAAAAAAGTCCAGACGTGGTGGCTCACGCCTGTAATCCAAGCACTTTGGAGGCCCAGGCGGGCGAATCACCTGAGGTCGGGAGTTCAAGACCAGCCTGACCAACATGGTGAGACCCTGTCTTTAAAAAAAAATAGAAATAAAAATTAAAAATAATAATTAAAAAAAAAGCAGAATTTATCATTTCAAATATTACACCGAGAGACTGGACTTCATAAATGTCTTCATCTGGATAGGCTGAATTCAACTGAATTCAATTGATTCAACTGATCCAGAGAAATCTATTAGGAGCCGGGCCAGGCACAGGGCCTCACACCTGTAATCTCAGCACTTTGGGAGGCTGAGGTGGGAGGATCGCTTGAGCCCAGTAGGCTGAGGCTGCAGTGTGTGTGATCGTGTCACTGCACTCCAGCCTGGGTGACACAGTGGGACCCTGTCTCCAAAAACGAACAAACACACACGGTAAGTCTTGAAATTGCATACTGCTGTTAGTCTTCCGGCTTTGTTTTTTCACAGTTGTTTTGGCTATTCTAGATCCTTTGCATTTCCATATGAATTTCAGAATGAGCATTTTCAATTTCTTGAGGAAAAAAAGCCTGCTGAGATTCTAATGGAGATTACGTTAATTTGGGGAAAAATGACTTCCCAATGACATTGAGTCTTCTGACTCAGGAACATGATTCATAGTGATCTAAGGATGAGGTGAGCGAACTGCTGTTGTAAGAATGTCCATCACACAGGAAGCCCCGTCACAGAACACAATCTGAAGAATTGTGAAAACGAGGAAGCAGACATGCTACAGGAGTTGTCTAAGAACTGTCCTGCCCGTGTGTGTATTCAGAACTAAACAAGTGGATGACCACAGGACTGGCCCCTTCCTGTCACAGTATATGGTAAGCCTCTCAGGAGGGGACATGCCCCTTCCCAAGGGCAGTGGACAGACCAACCTGTTGGAAGTTTTTGGGGCCCTGAATATCACACAAATACTAGAGCTGACTTTTAAAGGCAGCTTTACTCAAGACAGAATGCTATTTTGGTTTGCATTCTTGATCAAGTTCTTAATCTACTACAGAGCAGGACCTAAATTTTAAATATGTACATACCTTTCAGGTACATTACCTTTTGGATACAGTTTATTCTTTGCCTAGCTTTAATTCTGACCTAAGTTAAAGGCTATACCAAAAAGAAAAATTCCCCAACCCTAAGCTATTTAATATGTAAGAATTGGCTTTTTGGCAGGGAGGTAGGGAGTGGGGATGGAGTTTTGTTCTTGTCGCCCAGGCCGGAGTGCCATAGCACAGTCTCAGTTCACTGCAACTTCTGCCTCCCGGGTTCAAGTGATTCTCTTGCCTTAGCCTCCCAAGTAGCTGGGACTACAGGCACCTGCCACCATGCCTGGCTAATTTTTCTATTTTTAGCAGAGATGGGGTTTCACCATGTTGGCCAGGCTGGTTTTGAACTTCTGACCACAGGTGATCTGCCTGCCTTGGCCTCCCAAAGTGCTGGGATTACAGGTGTGAGCCACCGCACCTGGCCAAGAACTGGCTTTTTAAGTGTATAGCCTCATGTCTTAAAAACCAACATGTGGTCACAAACTCCCAGGCAGGCTCCCTCACAGGAGAGACACTGTGTTTTCCTTCTGTGTGCACTAGCAAGGACAGCTTGCACGTCTTTAGCAAATTTGAAGCCATAAAATCAAAACGGTGATTAAAAAGGCAACCTGAAATTCCTGAGTTATAGAGAAAATATCAAGAAGGAAGAACATTAACACTCCCACAAAGAGAAATATATACACATTTTCGTGTTTTTGATGAAATCTGTTCATTGCTAAGAACATTCATTGTGAGGAAAGTATGGAATCCAACTGGATTAGATAGAAAATTAGTTACTGATGTTCAGAGTGTTTAGGGAGCGAATTTGCACTGCATTTCTAGTATTTTCAGGCTTTGATG